TCCAAATCACCACTATACAGGATTTCCTACAGAAGCATTCAAAATTTACAGGGAAGTTGACTACACTGTAGAAGACGTGGATTTTGCTCTACACATTTTTGTTCCAAAAAGTTACTTTTACAAGTGAATTCTAGAAAACAAATGTGTCTCTCCCAATATTCTGCATGTCTTTTTCTTCAAACAAAAACCATGATCCAAACCCCAAAGCAGTATCTGAAAAACTGAAACTAGAAGATATTTCACAGCTCCTTGGATTCATCACGCATCTAGTTAACTGAACTCACTGTGAGACAATCCCTTTTCTACAATAACCAGTTAAAACCAAAACAGACCAGCCTGAAACCTCAAAGCACCAATCATCACAAGATTTCACATATAAACTGCTTGGGTTTTCAGACCTGAAGCTTGATATCCAAAATTCCTACTAAGAGAGATTTAAAAGAAAGATTCAGGATTATAATACACTGCCTGAAATGAATTTTACTATTTGTTCCATGTTAAATCTCCAAAGATTAATTTCAAACTAAACCTCCCAAGGAGACATTCTGGAGCCATTCACAAGTCTGAACATCCAGGTGGCCCAAATCATGGACAAAAGCATTGAGAGCTGCTACCAATGGGCAGCTTCAAACTTCCTGCTACCAGAATGGAAAATTGATCCCAGCTTTTACTACAGGTTCTTGCTCCCCATGGGAAAGCCAACATTTTACTGAACCAAGTAACATCAACTTCAAATGTCCACCTGCTGCTCTGTGAGAGTTCTTGTGTAGCAAGGACAGCAGCACCTGTGAACTGCTCATTTTGCACCCCAGCCAGGGTTACACTCAGGAGGAAACTCAGACAAGCTGATAAAGTGACAGCAGCTCAAGTTACCAGGCACAAGCAATATGTGCCATCTTTCCAACTCCAGACACCAAGCTCACATCAAGCTTGAATCTCACATGTTACCTGTGAACATCTGCCCATCCCCTAGTTCATGTGTTAGCAAATTAATTATTTTGCCCCTTTGGCAGAACATTTGTTTGATGAACTGTTCTTACATGGCTCATGCCCTATTACACACGAAGAAAGCAGAAACAACTGGGTTTTCTTCATTCAGCCCTGAAACAAAACTAGAGTTTGATCTACATTCAAATGGCTTAAAATTGGGATTTTCTTCTCTAAAAACAAAAACCAGAAGAGCCAGGGAGAAGGAGAAACTGAAAGTGAAATATTTTCTCCCAGGGAACGTGGACAGCTGGCAGGATTCAAACCCCAAACACCTGACAAACACCTGGAGGAGTCCAGGCAACTTTTAAATTAACTAAGCTTGTCAACATAAACTTCAGCTGCACATCTGAAGATCCTGGAGAGAAAATACCCCTTTGATTACCTAATTACCCCCTTCCATGCACACACACACAAAAAAAACATCTTGTCATCTAAGAACACAGAACAGCATCCCTATCTTTTCATAATACAAAGAGATGAGGGGAAAACAGACGTTTTCAGGCCATGTTTCCACATTCATTTCTGAACAGCAATTCAGTTTATCCCAGTCCTTTTTAACAAAAGAAATACTCATTCTTTCAAAGGAGGTCATATTTAGGAAAAGAAAATTAAAGTGTAACTAATAATCCAGTAGTTTTAGTTTGTACAGAAATATTCAAAATAGTGTAGACCAAAATTACAAATATTATTTCAATTTGTATTTTGGTAGTCACATTATTTTATCCTCTGTGTTTAGAGGTAAACATGACAAACTTCACTCCAAAATTCCAAATTTCTTTATGAAGAGTGACCTTTCCTCTACTAAAAGCTGCACACTCCTTTTATTTAAAACCTAAGATGGTACCTCTTCCAGAGCAGTAATTTTTGCATCCTTCAGAAATGTGTGTCTAAGTATGTATTTGTGCTCATTCTATGACACAAAGCTCTGAAAACCATCTCTACTGGCCTTCGTTAGCAGCTGCTAACAAAGAAAGGATTAACTGTCCAACTGAGCACAAGTTCCCAGTGAGATTTACTGCATTTCTCATCCACTCCTGTCTGTGTAGTTTCCAGAACAATTTTACTTTCTGAATGGTTGGAAAAATTAAAAATATATTCTTGTCCAAAGATGCAAAATACAAGGAAATCCTGATGTGTACAATGAGCTTTGTTTTAAGACACAAAGCATGTGCTGCTCTCTTTATTAAAGCACAAATTATTTACTACAGAACTCTTGGCTCCCCCACCAAGGGAGAGGCTCAAGCCCACAACTGAGTTCCTCTGCTTTAATACACCAAAACCCATTTCTCTCATGACTTTTGTAGTGCTTATGAGTCCTCCTTCAGGAAGTTTCAGAATTTCAGTCCATTAAGACTTAGGAATCTTTGAACTTTAATGAACTTTAATTTATCAGTGAGAAACAACACAGAGCTTTTTTTTTTTAAGCCCCAGCCCTTGCCTGTTCTTTAAGCCCACATTGCCCAGCACAGAGTATTAAAAAAATAAATGCTTTCAGTAATTTTCATGAAACATCTTCCAACAGAAAAAAAAAGGGCACTATATCTCGTCTACTCACTTGTAACTAAAACTTCACTCAAATAGAATGGAATGGCTAAGGCAAGTGTAAATTATTTAAAGGTAAATAAAAATACTGCTCCCAAGCACCCTCACACCAGTAACACTGCTGCATCCTCTTGATTACTCCCAAGTACAAAACAGGTCAGAATGTTCACTTGCTAATTTTGGTTTTTAAAATACATGCTTTTAACATAATAAAAATATTTTCAGAGGATTTTTGTGTATATTGGATACAACAATTAATTTTCAAACAATTTTTTAATATTGAAAGAACCAGAGACAGAAAGATCTGCTATCCTTCTCGAGCTGAGGACCAGTATTGGTTGTGCAGATATTCCTGTGTATTAACCAAGTTTAAGACAGACATCTTGTCCTGTCTACACACAAAAGACACCGAGGAAAAGCTTCTCTGATTCTAAAACTTACCTAAAATGTCCTGGCTTGCTGCTTTTTGCCATGTCATTTCTGAAAACCAAGAAAACCCCACACCCAGTTTTGAAGTGGGAAGCTACACTGTACACAGTGTATTTACACAGTGTATTATTGATACACAGTCTATTATTTACAGGTAAAGCACAGCTTCTTTCCTTTACAACCCACCTGTACAGACTAATTTACTGGGAATACTTCCACCTTATACAATATGGAACACTATGAAAAATATCAAAAGTGACAGTTAAAAAAAATGAATATAACACTTACTGTGCTTATTCACTTCTAAGGATAATAAGAGATTTAGAGGTCTAGCACAAATATGATTTTTTTTTTTGTAATTTTAACTTGGACTGTGGCATTTTGAGGCAAGTCTTGAGGCTATGTTCTTTTTTTTGATGGACACCTCATGCTCTGGAGGTTGCAAAGCCCTGAGAAGCTCATTTAATCTGCCACCACCGAGAGGGTGCAAAACACGCCACAAGTAACCACGACAGCCTTTTCCTCTTGTGCCACAACTCGAACCGTCCAAGCACCAGGGATTGAGTAGCTGCTCTTTCTAAAAATAACCCGTGGAAGGCCGCTTCCAGCTGGGCTCAGGCTCCCAAAGAGTTGAGCTTAGGGCGATGGAAAGCGAGCGGTGACACTGGGGCGGGGTGGGGTAGCCCCGGCTTTGTGCGGGCGGCACAATGAGCTCCGCCGGGGAGGCCGGGCCGCCGCCATGTTACAGCTCCGCGTCCATGTGCCCGGCACCGGGGGCACCGCAGCCTCTGCCTGCCCGCTCCGCCGGCCACGGGCACCGGGCGCGCTCCGGCCGCCGCACGGAGAGGGCATGTGGGGAGCTGAGCCCCGGGATGGCGCGGCTGGGAAAGGCCCCGCCGCGGGGAACAAAAGGCGGAAGGAGGGGGAAGGGAGCGGCGCCGCCGAGGGGGCTCCGGGCACCGGGGGCGAAGGGGGGTCGGCAGCCGCGACCCCGCCGGGTTCTGCTCCGCGAGCCGGGGGGAAACCGGGCCGGGTCCCGGGGCGACGGGAGGGCGGCCGGGGAGGGGGCAGGGGGACGCCCGAAGGGGAAGGGGACAGGCCGGGGGAGCGGCGCTCGCCCTTCTGGAACCTTCCAGCAGGCGGCCTCTGGGGGCCACGCCGGGAACAACCCGGGAGGGCTCGGCGGAGGGCCCGGCACAAGGGAGCGGAAGGGAAACAGGCCGGACGGGCTCGGGGGCAAGGGCGGCCGGAAGGCGGGGGACAAGGCGGGTGGGCACCCCGGGTGGGCTGGGGGATCTGAGGGGATGTGGGGATCACCTTCTTCTTCTCCAGGTTGCGCAGCTTCTTGTCGATCACCCCCAGGATCTGCTTCATGGCCTCGGTCTGCACCGTGGTGATGTTCACACCCGCCGCCGCCTGCGGGGCCGCCGCCGCCGGAGCAGCCTCGCTACCCGGTCCCGCTTTGCCGGTGCTGCTGCCGGTGGTGCTGCTCGCCATGGTGCTGTTGGTGGCCGAGGGCATCTCTGTGAAGGAGGGAGGGAGGGCGGGAGAGAGACAAGAGAGCGGAGAGAGCGGCGGGCGCGTCACGGGGGGAGCGCGGACGGCGGAGACGCGCCCGCGGCCGCGCGCGCGCACGAGCCGTACCTGCCCCGGCGCGCGCGCGCCCCCCCCAACCCGCCCCTCCCTCGCCGCGCGCGGGGCGGCGGTCACGTGACGGCCGCCTCGCGCCCAACGGTCATTTTCCCTTCACGCTCCCCTTCCCCCCTCCCCCCCCCCGCCCCGCTCGGGGTGTCCGGAGGGGCCGCGCCGTCCCCCTCACCCTGTGCGCCACTGAGCCCGGGGGGGGGACACGCTGCGCTCTCTCTCGCTCGCTAGGAATGGCCGCCTCAGCCACGCTCCAGCCCCGCCGCCCGCGCTGCTCCTGCTACCACAGCAGAGAGAGAGAGAGACAGAGAAGGAGGGAGGGAGGGAGAGACAGCGGCGGCGCGCACGCCGGCGCGTAGAGGCGAGGCGGCGCGGGAGCGCGCGGGGTCCTGGCCGGCCCGCGGGTGGCCACAAAGAACGCCTGAACCCGCGGCGGCAGCTGCTGCGCTGCCCGCGCGGGTCCTTGAGGCGCGCGGCGGGCGGCTCAGCGCCAGACACAATAGTGGCGCGTCCCTCAGCGCCGCCCGGCCGCTCCCGCCGCAAAGCGGCTCCGGAACGCCTCTCGGTGCCCTGCGGCGGGCCCGAACCGTGCCACAGCAGCACGGCTGTCACCGAGCCCCAAGAGCCGCAGCTCACTCGCCGGGAACACTTGCTTCATCTGTCTGTCAGGCTGGGATTTGTGTCTCCAGATATATCCCTGCGATCCTCACGTAACGTGTTTGATTTTAGTCCTGCACGTTTTAGTCACCAAAAGCTGCCACCACTCAGTAAACCTTCTGTGCGGCCAATTTATTATTTCAGTGTTAATAAATAAAATACGCCATCGGGGTTTCTGTGAGGCAAAGGGAATTTTGGGATGAATGCTCCAGATGCTTCGTGGGGCACAGCTGGAAAATGAAATGCCGCTGCCTTCATAAGGCTGGGAGCTAAATGGGAAAGGATTTGGTATTGAGTTGTCCTGGAATTAATGGGTGCAAGACTCTGGGAATAGGAATTCCTGAAAATCCAGTTCACTGCATTTGCACATGGACATTGAAAATTTTGGTTATAATATGCAATTTAAGACTGTATGTACTGCTATTTTTTTAAAGTGTTGGGTATTTTTCTTTGATCTCTTTATTCGTGGATCCACACAATCAATGACATTGAAAAGAAGGAAAAAGCCTAGTCTTGAACACCTGGCCCAACCTCATGGGAGATGTCTCATGGCCCTTCCTCACCAAATCCTTGCCCTTGTTTCCATCCTGGTTCTTGCTCCCCAAGCTGATAATCCAGCAAGAAACTGTTTACTCGACAGGCAGATTTCCCCCCTCCATTCCATCTGTAAGTATTGCTCCTTACACTTCTGCTTTCCATGTATGTATCTCTGGATTTTCTGGAGCAGCTCAATGCTTTGTCATTTTGTATTTAGATATTTGCTTTACAAATCACTTCATTTTGCATAACAGGTTATGGAACATGTAATAAATTATGCCTCCCAATTATTTCTGTTGAATAAATGATGTATAAAAACAAAATCTTCAATTATTGAAAGTCCTTTTCACTGTTCAACAAAAAGACTTTGGTAATACCACTGCATTTTTAAAATTCCATTGTATTTACGAGATTTAATTTCTATGGATTTACTTCTCCAAGCCCCATTCATGGGGGTTGAAATTACTTTTTTTCCCCAAGCAAAATGCAGTTTTTCTGTCAACATGTGAAGTGCTTGAGGCTTTTTGACCACAAAATACAATGGTTTAAAATAACATGGAATTGTCTCACCGATTCCTATTAATTTCTCCTTTTTCCTCACATTGCCATTGCAATTCTCCATAAGTTTTGGGCACAGCTTAGGCAAATTTTTCAGCCAAGCTCTGATAAAGTTTGTACTCAAACCTTTCGAGGTGTTTATTCTTCATGGAGAAGTGAAACATGAGGTAGCAAACGTTCATTGTCCCAGAAATAAAGGAAGTTAAAAGGCTGCTCTTGAGAGCAGTTATTGAACGAGATCACAGTTAATCTCAGCTCCTGAAATATTTTTTACTGCTTGATGTGCTCATCGTTTCAGGCAGGTCTTTCTGTGAATTATTGATCTGCCCCTTTTCCACCATTCCTGTACGAGCAGTGACCACAAATTCCTCATCCTTCTGTGCCAACAGTATTGATCACCAGCACCTGGCAGAGGAAAACCCTGCAGAATTCCCAGTAAGAGCTGAGACCTTTGCTTGGAGGAAGTGTTGCTGAGCTGTGGGTAAACACCATCCTGGCAGCTTCCAGCGTGATGAGTTTGTAATCAGCATGTGGGTCTCAGCATTTCCATCTCTCAGACATAAGTATCCCTGCATTTTGTGTTTGGGAGCTTTGCAAAATGAAGGTCAGCTCCGGAGCTGCTGGGTTTGGAGTCACGTTTGTCCAGTCCCCAGGGAAAGGCCTGAGAGGAGAGAAAGTCCCCCCAGCAGAAGAACTTCCACAAATGGGAACCTTTAAACTCAGAACTGCTCAAGATGAAGGAAGTCACATTCCCGACCCTTCCCATTTGCCCTCTTTGCTCCCCTTTGATCAGGGATTTTTGACCAAGCCAAGCCTTGCAACTCTCTCTGGGGAAAATCCTACAGGGAAGTAGTACTAGTCCTCTACTCCCTTGTCCTATCGCCAAGCTGAAAAGAAAAAAGGAAAAACTACAGCTTTTTTTTCACCCTCCAATGCCCTAAAAATTATTTCCAAACAAAATAAATGTGGCAGGTTGTGGGAAATGGATTTGTAAAGAATTCTCAAAAGCTGTCAGAAAACTCAGTCTTATATATCTGTATACAAATACTAAAATTAAGTGTGCTAACTTAAGAAAGCCATAGAATAGAGATGACATTGTTAAGAGAGAAATTAAACTAAAACCAAGTTTCAACAACTTTCAAAATGTAGCCTTACAAAAATACTAGATATTTTAGAAAACTAGAACTGTGAAAGATGCGTTGTAGCAACACCACCTAGAGAAAAAACAGAGGTGATTAGTGCTAGAAGTAATGGCAACATTGTGTGGCAAAAACAAATAAGCTGAAAAACATTTATAAAGTATTGTAACCAAGAAATAGGTTAGCTTCTGACACGAATAGCATTTTTACATCTCATCATCAAGACTGATAATGGAATAAAATCGTTTAAAATGCCTCTCAGTTGCCTCATCGCTGTAAAAACTTAGAAAACCAACACCAGCTTAGCTCCTTGTGAGCCCCAAGGATGAGCTGTGTCTCCCTGCAGCTCTGCCAGGCTCTGACCATTCCTGTAGATATGCTCCTGTCTTCCCAAACCTGGCATCCCATCCCTATATCCTTCCATCTTCTGGGTCCCCACTTGTCCAAAGCTCATCAGCTTTCCCACCCTGCTGATCTGTTCCCAACTTCCCCAAACCAGGAACTCTGGCCCACTCAGTGCTCTCTCCTTAATCTACTCCCTGGTCATACTCAGAATTATCCTGAACTATATATAATGAAATTAACATAATTAATAGCTTCAATTTTTTTCTTTGCTGGGTTGTTCGGGTTTTTTGGTGGTTTGTTTTTTTTTTTTTGGTTTTTTTTTTTTTTTTTGGTTTTGGTTTGGTTTGGTTTTAAATATGCTCCGTAAGACTAAAATAAAATTTAGTTCCTGCACTTCATTACAGGTCTGTTAATCAAGCAGTTCCCTGCCTGAGCTCATGGAATGTTACAGGATTTCAGCATTGCCAGTATTCTGTCAGGTTCTAGAGATAACCACAGCCTAAATTGAAAAGCAGATCCCATTGCACCTCTGGAGCACAGAAAATGGAAAGGATCAACCTCAGTTTCCAGTTCCCGGATTTGTTATACAGGGATTAGGGTTGGTAGGTTTTGAGGGGGGGCCAGTCTGCACATTTCAAAAGCTGGGGCTCCTCCTGCTTATCAGGCTGTTTTAGAAAGGTATCGCTTTGTTTTTATATAGGTTTCCTTTTTCCACAGGAATTTGCTCAAAGGAGAGAAATTCCCATTCTATCTAAGCCCACAGGCTGGCTAACTTTCATAATAAAATGAGACCCAGACAAAATAGACTTCTCTGAATAAGGATTGAAAGCTCAGTGTATGTTTTTTGCCTGAATAAGATTAAAATACAAAGTTTTTATCAGAAATGTTAAACATCGATATTTTGGGAGCCAAGTCAATAAAAAAATTCAGAAGGTATTTGAGTTCAAAGGAGATTAAATGAAGTCTAATGGTATGATTAGTCAAAACTGACATAATTCCAATCCAATGCAGTGAAAAATTGATTAAATGCTGCTAAATGATAGATTTCCCTACACAGCCATGGATGGGAAATCCTTACAAAAGGTATTTCAGTTTCAGTTCTTCTTCCCTTCCATGAAGCAATTGTTTACTGAAGTCTCCAGCTGCAGAACCAGGCTGGGACACTCCTTTGCTCCACTTTAAACTTCATGCAAAGCAGATCAAGCCTTAGTTTATGGACAAAGCCCTGGCACAGGAAGGGAGGAGGTTGGTCACACATGCCAAGGAAGCTCTGAAAAGCAGCCCAAAACTGCCCAGGGCTTTATATTTGCCTGACTTAGCTAATTTGGATGGGCCCAGCTTACCACACTCTCCAGGATGTTTATGCCCATCCTCTCTCTAATTTACTCTTTCAGTCATCATTTTGTATTTGTAAATTAGATCAAGTAATTCTGTCTTTATTTCCTCACTGCTAAGGAAAATATTGTGACAAATGCTGCAGCCCCAACCAAAGCATCCTCTTAAATAACAATCTTCTGTTCAATTTCTTTTTTTCAGCCACTTTAGTGTATCACAGCCGTTTAAAGAAGAATACCCCGAGGCTATAAGTCAAATTTAGGCTGATCATAGTCTGACTGTCTTAGATCTTTAATTCTGGAGAGCATCTACAGAGGTTGTCATCCCAAACTTTTAATCACCTCAGAAAATATTACTTTTTTTAACTCTTTTTTTTTCCCCTCAAAGAGATGTGCTGTGTAACTGTGGAGTAAAAAAAAAAGCTCTTACTGAAAGGATATTCAGCCCAGTGCTGAAATATATCATGAAAATCAATAATTGAAAGGCAAAGATGCTGCCAAGGGCCAGGTTTTACTATAGATGGAATGGGTAACATGGGGCTCATGATGTGCCTAATAGCAACTTTTTACCTTTATTTCTATGAATAGAATAATTTTATCTTTATTTCTATGGCTCTTTCTATGAATGGAAGAGTCCAAATAGTTCTTGACAAATGAGCAGATCCAATGCCTGCCCTCTTACCCGCCCCCCTGGGAAATTTGTATCTGAGCCCTTCATCTCTTCAGCTGATTTGGTCAGTACAGTCATTAGAAAAACAATGGGTTTTGCTAATTATATTCATAATTTATTCATACTCACAAGACCTGAAAATTGCCAATCAAACTTTACTTTCTCCAAGGCGTACCTCAGGATTTTCCTGCACATCACATACATAAGAAAGGTAAAGGAGGAGCAAAACTGGAGGTAACTGAAGGTGAAGGATGACTGACTATTTTAGGGAATTCATAAATGCTGATGTAGGACAAATTCCTCTCTTGATACCTCCTTTCATTTTGACAGGGAATGACTGGAAATTATTCTTTATGTAGACTGGCTTTGCACCCACTTTACTGTGGTTTTCATTTGGGTCATGATTTCTTAGGCTGCTTCTGAGCTGTGGGAGAGAGTAGCAGAAACCTTATAAAAGTCAGGAGATCTTCCTCTGATTTTTCTCTGCTTCTCCTCTGTCCATCTGTGGAAGGAAATGAAATAGCCTGTCACAGTTTGGTTGTGGCAAATTCATGTTGCCTCTTACCTCCTTTTTTCCCCAGTCACTTGGGATATTCAATGAATAAAGGTAGAGCATCTCTAATTTAATTTAGGAAGACACGAGTACACAGCTTAATTTGCAGGTGGCCACATCAACTTGCTGCTTTAATTTTATTTGTCAGTTGAAAAACTCTTATTAAGAACTTAAAATAGCAAAGTTTCTCCCAGAAAGAGCTGAGGCAGGAGATGCCTCTCTGCAGTCTGAGTCCTGTGCTTGTTTGTACTGACCTGCTTAGCTCAGGCTGTATTATATAATTTACATTTCTTAACCCAATATCTCTTTGCCAGGTCAGAAAGGGACAGGAAATACTTAAAACCTCTTCTGCAAAATCTCCTTGGTGTGGAGAATAAAAGTGTTTTTAGCGAGCATGGCTGAAAGAGCTGGAAGCAAACAACCCTTAACAAGAGGCAGGTAGCGGCTGTACCTTCCATCTCCACTGTACCATCTTTGTAATGTAACCACGGAGCAAAAGAGAAGAAATTCCCAGGATGTTTTACCATTTTCTTCCCATCATATTTAAGCCCAAAATATGGGCTCCTGTCTTTTGGCAGTTCTGAGGATTTCTCTTGTAAGTCAGGTGTATTTTTAAGGTTGATAATATATTGACTGTATGTGAGTATTCTTCTGCCTGTCTGTGAGATGGTAGGGCCTACCCATCAGCCTGTTTAGGAGGTGAATTGATAACAGATGTCATTTCCCCACAGTGAGCAGAATTACATCTCACAATAAACACTGGCACGAGGAATGCAGAAAGCCTTTACCCCTGCAGGATAAAAGACCTCCAGCCCAGAGGAGAGCAAGGAAGGGCTGGCAATTCTCACACTCCAGTACTGGAGTACTGGAGGCTCAGCTGGGCTATTTTGAGGAAGACTGATCCCAGACCCAATGCTAAAGAATTAATGATTGCTTTAAACAAGTGTTTCCAAATCTGTTGGTGTGACAGCTGCCTTTCCACATGTGCTGGCTCCAGGAGTGCCCACTGGCACTGCTGCCCTTCTCCTTCCTGTGTGCTCAGCACTCTCAGAGAAACAAATTTGTGTGTTCCTCAGGGCCATATCCACCCCAGGGAAGCTGAACTAAAGAATTCTTCCACTAAAACATCCACCAAAGAATTGCAAGTGCTTCAGCATGAAGAAAGCCCCAAGCAGACCAAAAAAAAGGCGAAACAAAGCAAAACCCCCCAAGCCACAAAAATAATGTGAAAACAGATGAGATCACCTACATAAATTCAGATTTATTCCAATTTTTTTGCCTGTGCTTCAATAGTTTTTTTACTTGAAGTCCAAACTCTTCAAGCCCACCAGGCAATTCTATTCCCCAGCATGCCAGTGATGAATAGATCATAAATGTGTTTCAGGAGCTCTAGAATTATTCACCAGGTATCTGCAAACACACAAAGGGTAAGACCCTGCTGCAGCAGAGGAAATGAGAAATTTGGGAGCACATCTTGCTGAGGAGCAATGAAATATTTAAAGTTAAAAAAAACCCCAAACAAAATAACGTGTAATTTTTATTCACTGGCATTAGTAACTAAAACATTGCAGTAATAACACGTTACACTCTGAGAGTTGCAATGGCAGAACAATTATCTAATTGGAAAGTAAAATTAATGACACCATATTTTAATTACTTAATAAGCAAGAAATTGTCGTCAGGCTGGGAAATGTAATGAAAAATTAGCAGGGAGTACAATTTGCTGGCTAGCAGAAAGTTTTCCTGGCAAACATGAAGTTTGGGAGCTGCTTTGCATCACTGAACTTTGTTTTATTCTCCACATCTGTTTGAGGACAAGAGGGCTTGGTGGACCTGAAGAATTGAAAAATGTGGGATTTGGAATAAATATTTGAGATACAATCTTTATAGACCCAGGATTTTCTGTGAAGGATTGTTGCTGGAGTGATTTCCCAATCAACTTGGAAAGCAGCCTGGTGTTTAAACTGATGATGATGAAGGAAGCAGCCATGAGGAGGAAGGCAGCAAACAAGAAGGCACAGTCTTAAAATAAGCAGACAGCAGACAAAAATAAAAGCAAACATTCAAATAACGTGTGTCTGTGAAGCAGGGTGTTTGTTTTTGCTGGACAGGTTGCAATTAAACTGTGAAAAGGTATGTAAATAATGCTGAATGCAAATATTCCCGTGGACACGGGCCTGTGATCTATTAATTATTCCAAGCCTACACCAGGATTTTGTCATCGCTGTCTGTGGCATGTTCCTTGCTTTAATCTGTCCTTTGGTCTGAGAGCTGCCAGATTTCCATAACTGGGTCACCCAGTTCTTTCTCAACTTTGTTTTCTGCTGTGAAATGAAAAATTAGCATTTTTCTGTGACATACATTGAAAACTTCTGTGAAGACCTTGAGTGGCCACTCTGGAAATCAGGAATCCTGAAACAGGTGAGAAAATAGGCAGGGAAATATTCATAGTTGTGGATAGGATGAATTTTCAGCAGGCAATCACACAGTTTGGATGAAAATTGTTGGTTATTCAAAAAGGTAAATGTTATTTTGATGCACAGGAGTGATGTTAAACTCTCTCTTCATTTTGCATAGTGAAAAACACCATTCCAGTGCCTAAGAATAAATTGTAATGAAATCTTACTCTAATTACAACAATAATTATAACGCTAATTTAAGAATCTTTTTATCTCTGAGAGGCATGAGTCACAGCGAGTGATTTATTGATTAAAATCGAGGTGATGAAGGTGCCATTAGCAGTAGTTGCTCTTTAACCACAAGAGAGCGCTCAAGAACTGCTCTGAAGCTCCATTTTCAGCTCAATCCTGGAGCTCAGGATTTATCTGAGGGACACCACGGGACAGTCACGGTGATTTGAAGGAGATACAGGGAGATGTCTCACTTCTGGCTTCTGCTGGTGACGAAGAGTGTGACGAAGGAAAGGAGGCAATCCTCGATTATTCTGCGTTTTTCCGTGATTATTCCCACCGAGTGTATCCATCCCTAGTGGCCAACAGCACTTCAGAGATGGCCATTAGGAAAAAATAATCTTGGAAGTGTTAGAGAAAGGTGAAGCTTTTGTTTCAGTTTTCTTGGGAGAAGGTCTGAATTGCATATTCCAAGGATGAGTAGGCAGTGCCATTTCATTAACTCAGTGCTGATAACATTTTTAGTTATTTGTTAAATTCATCATCCTATGAAGGGTTTTGGCTAAAACTGGAGCAGGGTGCCCAGAGAAGCGGTGGCTGCCCCATCCTAGGAAGTGTCCAAGGCCAGGCTGGACAGGGCTTGGAGGCTGGAATAGTGGGAGGTGTCCCTGCCCAGGGCAGGAGGCTGGAACAAGATGTTCTTGAAGATCCCTTCAAGCCAAATCATTCTGTAACCCTAAGATTACTACTGGGACCTCCACAGGGAATTAAAAAATGCATGGAGCCCTTCAGTGCCATGACTGCTGTGCTTTGTCCTTCCCCTTTAGAGTGCAGTTTCCACAGGGGTTTCTACCCTTATAATCTGTGGAGTCAGGGTGAGAAGTGAACACAACAATCATTCTTACAAGTAAAAAACCACAGGGTTTCTGCTGGAGTCTTGTTAATTATGATGTTGAGGAGCCCAAAGCTAATTTTCCATTCAGGAATTGTCACTCCTGCACTGCTCTCCTGTCTTCTCCCCACTAGAAGGCAGAAGCGAGGTTTCATGAGAATATTTACCAAAAAAATTAATTGTCCATCAGGAAGTTTTACAGCAAACTGACTGCTGCTGGTTTTCTATGGTTTCATCACCTTCTCACTTCCCATTTTCCAGGGTGCCAGGGCCTCCCCAATCCCGACCTGACACATGGGCTTTGTGCAGCACCCATGGTATCCATCGGTGGCTCTGTGGTGAGCTCTGCCTCCTCCAGCCTCACAGGGCATGCAGGGAAGGATGTATTATCCTGCTGAAACTTCAGGGGGAATGTTAAAAGGAGGATTGTAATTAATTGAGTTGGAATTTGGCCAAGGCAGAGACTTTAATATGTCTTCTTCCCTGGCTCCTTTTTTTTTTTTTTCTTTTTTTTTTTTCTTTTTCTTTTTTTCTGCAGGCACAGGAGTTGTATAACACCCTTGTCTATAGCTTTGACAAATTCCTGGCAGTCCTATTCCCAGCAGGAGGGTCCAGCCATGGGGTTGGGGGATCCATTCAGTCCTGTGTGGGTGCAGGAATGTCTTTGCTGTTCCCTCACCCAGGTCCCTTAAAGATAAAATTGATGTGTACAGCCTGTAGTTAGTGAGAGCCTATAGAGTGTTAGTGCTCCCTTTCAGCACATTGATGCTTTCATGTTTTAAGCTCCTTGGCTAAGCAAATCTTTGTACTTCTTTCCTCCTTTTTCTTAGCAGCAATTAAACACCCCAGGCATATTTATACAAAAATCCCTGTTCTTTCCAAGGCAGAAACACTTTCTCTGTCTTCCCAACAGATTTTAAACCTCAAGATGACTGCAGCAATTTTGCCAGTTAGCAGAGAGAACCAACATTACCTCATTTCTCTGGCAATTCTGCAATGCCATTTGCATAATGTGAAGTTTAGATCTTCCACTGTCACATGCTCCCACTCATTTACCACCCTAATGTCCATTGGAAGTGCTCGATGGAAGTGCTGGAACATTCCTAGTTCTTTGTTTCATATCAGCCTTGGATTGAACCAGTTGCTTAATTTTCCCCAATTTCTGCAGCACTGCAGGAGTTCCCAACATTTGTCCTCACAATGTGCTTGTCTGAATTGCTGTATCGTTTTTGCTGTGTTCTCTAATGACTCCCTCCAAATAAAATGCCTTTATAGCATCAAGGAAAATAACAAGCATTTTTAAACTCCATTCTTCCTTATTCTTTCCCCCCCATAAACTGTGAAAATCTGCATATCTGATTGATGCAACTTCATCCTGATCTGAAGCCACACTGCTTTTCTCTCATCACTCCCTCTAAAACTGGCTCTGATCTGCTGGCTACGATTTTTGCAGAGTTTTTTTCCCTCTGTACTGACAATAAACTTTCACCTCCATAATTATTTTGATCAGCAGAGTCACATTTTGCCAGGATTGAGGCAAGGATTGCCTTCAGCCAGGCACCTGCGGGCCTCTCACTCCCACAGGTGTTTGTAGTGGGGTTATTTTTGTACATGTTCCACAGCCTTTCTCGTTTTTAACTGATTCACTGCTCTGGTGCCCCTGTGATCCTGGCTAAATATGGGTTCAGCACTGCCTCACAACCTGAGTCTGTTCTTGCAAAGTGTTGTCGAGTCTTTCATACACAAAAATGTGCTGGGTCTGATCCTGCATGTTTAATATGCAACCATGGAGTCACAGGATCATGGAGTCACAGAAGGGTTTCGGTTGGAAGGGTTGGAAGGGAAGGTTAAAAATCATCTTATTCCACCCCTGCCATGGACAGGGATACCTCCCACTATCCCATGTTGCTTCAAGTCCCATCCAGCCTGGCCTTGAACATTTCCAGGGATCCACAGCTTCTCTGGGTAACCTGTGGCAGGATCTCACCACCCTCATAGGGAAGAATTTTTGCCTAATATCCAGTCTAAACCCATTGGCATTATCAAAAGCCTTATATGGGCAAAAAAAACCCCAAAAACGAAAAACAAAAACAAAAGCCCAAAAAAACCCACTACTTTTTAATTGATAGATATATTAGGTATTTAAAACCCGAGTTTTAAAGTCCTTCTGTTTATTGTTCCTATAAGCAGGGTTGATGACAAAAGCAGATGCACTCCATTACTCCTGTGACAGCAAACCATGTGGCTTCTTTGTGTTCCAGCTACATTTTGGACTTTAATTAAATGTAGCATCACATTCCTTGGCTTTTCTCTCTACTGTGTCCCTTCACATACTTCCATTTTTATTTTCCCCTTGTCTTCCCCCACCCATATTTTCCTCTTTAGAACTCCCCCTAATTTATGGTATCCATGTGTGTGCCTTGGGTGAGCTCTGAGCCCCTGCAGCTGCCGCAGCGCTGAGGTGATCTGATCAGCACTTGCTGAGCAAGGATTTGGGTTTCCCAGAGCTCAGGACATTTTTGTACACTTCCCTTTTCTCCTGTCAGCGTGAAATATATGTGACACATAACGTGATGTGTGATAGGAGGGCGTACGAAAAAACCGAGATACCCTCAGAGGTGCCTTCAGGTTTTGAAGAAAAATAAAAAAAAAGGAGCAGGAAATCAAACAAGCGGCGCTGAAGATGTTGGTTGTAGCTCTTTGCAGGGCAGTTTCTCGGTTGGTGCCGTTGCTATCGCTCCCAGGGCGTTTTACAGGCCCCGTGAGGGTGCCTGCGCCTCTGGGCACGCCGATAAGCGCGGCCCGGGGGCGGTGGGCTAGCCCCGACCGCACCGCCTTTCCCTTCCCCTGCTGGGCCGGGGCAGGGGGAGAGCCGTGCCCCGTTATCACCGCCCTGCAGAGGGGCACCGCCAGCACCTCCGTGCCCGGCCCCTCCAGCCCCAGCCCGGCGCTGAGCGCCTCTATCAGCTCAGCTCCCTCAGGGCCGCGGGGAGCGCCCGCCCGGGGCTCTGCAGGGGCGGCCTCAGCTGCGCCAGCAGAACCGCTCCTTTCTAGGGATTTCCGTCCTACATCTTCAGGAGACCGGGTTCCCTTCCAGCAGTCTCCTTCAGCAGTCAAGGGTGTGCCCAGAAATATCTTTTCATCCTCCCACCATGCCTCTTCAAAAGCTTTTTACCCTCTGAGGAAGGACCTCGAGGGAATACCATACACAGGGCTGATTTCCTCCCAGCTTTCCCCAGCTGGGATCCAGTGGGAACAACCATCCATCCTCTGGGAGCTTCTGCTGCCCCAGGTACCCACAGCCATGGCTTGCGGGCAAGCAGCCATCCCATCTTCCCAGTGACAGGGCCCAGTCCCTCTGTGCTAATCCATATTTTATATTGCTTAAATATTGCACCATGGAAATTCTCTGAAATATCGGTTTTGAATACAGAAACTGATATTCTGCTTATTGATGTGCTGCTGACCTGGAACCACTCAGGCACATAAACATCCAAGAGATTTTACACAGTCCTATTGAGTTACACCCAGATTTTTGCACATTTTTTTAGAGTTTTTTTAGGATTAGGTTTTCATCTGCAGAGGTTTTAGGCCAGCAGCTGTGTTTTTGTGGCGTGGGTGGTATGATAGGTGAACACCTGAGAGCTGAAGCCTCTGCAGACTGCTGTGCTGGTATATCATAAAATCATGGATGATTATAGATGTATGAAGAAATTCAGGGAACAAGGGAGGTGTTGGATTGTGGTCCAGGTGACAAATTTCACCCAAGTCCATTCCCTGCTGTGTCACAGACCACGGGGAGGAGATCTGTTTTACTGGATGCATGTACACGTTATCAGCCTGCCTTGGAAAACCTTTTATTTTATTCTCAGTTTTATCTCCCAGTAATCTTTCAAGTATTTCTACAATTGAGCAGATGTTTAATACCCAGGGACAAGTCTAGAATTGAAGGAAAGATATTTTTCAAGTAATTTGGGGGAACCTGACAAGAATCCCTTAGTGCTGGCTGTTAACTGTGTTTTCTTCCTCTTTTGATAGATCTGGTTGTGTCAAGGAGAGTCTCCATGGACTTGGTCTAACAAAGGCATGATGGATCTGACCCTTTGTAATCTTTGCCAATAAAGCTGGAAAAATGTTATTTTTTTCCTCTGTTGCTATCCTGCCAAACATCATTTTGCTCCCAGGAAAGCCTGGCTTTGAATCATGCTCAGTGCAATAGTTACCCACCTGGGCTTGTATCTTTTACCCAAGCATGCCAACTATTTTTTTTCCCTTTGTATTGCCAAGGTTTTTTTGATTTATTGTGCCTCAGCTCTTTCTGAGGTAAAGTTATTATCGTGAAAGAAGATTTTCCTGATCAGTTGCCATAATAAACAAAGCAAATCTGCCTTGGGTGATTGCAGACATCAAGCACACTTGGATCCCTGTTGCTCAGGATTTATTATGGACCATAATATGTCTATGGGATGCATGCAGAGGAAGCTCAGAGGGGAAAAAGGGCTCCTATCCCAATTAGGCTGGTGAAACTAAGTAGGGGAGAATGGTGAGAGATGCAGAAATAAGGATGTTATTTCTGATACTCCAATGAAGAAGGAGAATCTGAACCAACAGCTCTCCCAAAATTTCACTGTTCACTTAAAATGTGCTTGCTGCTTGTTGGGAACAGCCTCCCTCCAGGCTTGCTGGCACTGCTGTTCTTAATTACTGACTCAGAAGCTGTTTGAAGGAGGTTGAAGATTTAGATTCTTCGGCTAATATAGAAATTCAGCCTAGAAATTAGGGATGTGCTGCACAGGTTTATGGCTAGTGGAGGCCTGGACTGCTTTTGGGTTGGAAGGGATCTTAAAGCTCATCCCATTCCCACCTTCTTCCATGGGCAGGGACATCTCCCACTATCCCAGGCTGCTCCAAGCCCCTTCCAGTCTGGCCTTGGACACTTCCAGGGATGGGGCAGCCACAGCTTCTCTGGGCAGCCTGTGCCAGGGCCTCATCACCTCACAGGGAACAATTCCTTCCTAACTTCTCACCAAAATCTCTCCTCTTTTGGTTTGACTTGTCTGTTATTTTTTATTTCCAGCAAGTGAACCCAAAATGACTCAAGGATTTAAAATTGAGTCTTAGTGCAGTGCAAAATATTCTAATGTTTTTGTCTGGTTGAACTACTCATTTTTTAAATAAGATTTACTATTGGATGTTCTTCCCACCAAATCATTAATTCCAGTGTCCTTTGTGATTCCCCCCTCAGCAGGGATCACAGTGTGATGGATGCTGTGCAAACCCAGGTCTGGGATGGATCCTACAAGAACACTTCCCAAGGAGGAGGCAGCCAGAAGGTGCTGGGAAGGAGGCAGCACCTTTACACTGTGCAAGTGGAATCTTCCCAAGGCAATCTTCCCAAAAACACCCTGGGAACCTCTGGCACAGCCAAAAGCTCAGTTAACATCTGAGTCCTTCAAAGACGATCTCTTCTCCCCAAATCAGTTTTATTTTTTAACAGAGAGCCAGTGGAAAGAACCCTTTGATTTCAGTGATTTAGAAAGAGTCCCAAATGCTCCCAAAAATCCATTACTGCATTCCCAAGCCACCTTATCCAATGAAGAGGAGAATTTTAACCTCTCTTTCTGCTGAGTTCTGACTCAAAGTCAGGTAAAGGGTGGTGGCTTAGCAGGAGCTCTGGCCCCTCGCTAGTAGTTCTATGAAAATGATTTATTTTTGTCACTTCTTGTGATTAGTCATGTCTCACACGGGGTATGTTGGTACCATTTCTCTCTCTCTCTTTTTGCTCTGCAGTTTGAATTCAATATGGAGTGGAGTTTTTTTTTTTTGGCTCAGAACACATCTTGTATACAGAACACTTCAAAGTCTTTTTCTGACCAATCTTTGTGATGAGAAGACCCAGTGTTTAATCTGTATCATTCCCAATAACCAGAAACCAGTGGAGGCCAATGCTAAAGGTTTGTAGCCCCTATTTCCAAGAAGAGCAAAGAGCCATATTCTCTTCCTCTGCTCTATCCTCATTCTAATCCTTATGCATTTACAAACGCTTAAAAGCAAAGCATGTGGAAATGCCCATGCCGAGTCTGTTTGGTTATCAGCTAATTCATTCTCAGGAGTAAAGCCCACACTGGTGAAGTCATCCTGGGTAACTGGGCATCCTGAATGATTCTTTTTTTGTCAAATCTCTTTCTGAGTGATGTAGTCAATTTTTTTTTTTTTTTTGCGTTGTCAGAAAAAAAAGAAAAAGGCAGCTTTCAAGTTTCACTCAGTAGATTTTTCACATGTCACTGGTGATTCCTTTTGAAAGGAATATTTGAAAATTCCCATCCAAATTAAGTCATGCAAGGATGCTTTTCATTCGTGTTTTTCAGAGAGGGTCTTTGAGCAAGGGTATGGAGTGATGGGAGAAGGGGGAATGGTTTTAAAATGAGAGAGGGTGAGTTTAAATACGATACTGGGAAGAAATCCTTCCCTGTGAGGGTGGGGAGGCCCTGGCACAGGTTGCCCAGAGAAGCTGTGGCTGCCCCATCCCTGGAAGTGTCCAAGGCCATGTTGGAAGAGGCTTGGAGCTGGTATAGTGGGAGGTGTCCCTGCCCTGGCAGGGTGTGATTTTTAGGGTCCCTCTGGGATGTAGTGGAAGTTGGCCTCGAGGCCCGCGTGAGGGCAGAGCAGGTCACATTGTCCTTCCTTTGTCACCATGAGCTGCTCTCCTGTCAAACCCAAGGAGAACAAAAGGGGCCATTTGTTGCCGAGCTGCTGCCCAGCTGTTGCTGTGTCTAATCAGAGTTAATTATTGCCCTGCAATGCTCCCATCCCAGAGCTCCCAAGGAGCCACCGCTTCATTCCGGTGCCTCCACAGCCAATTTGGGAGCTGCCTATTATCCAGCACCAAAAGGTAGAAATTGCACAGGATCCCTGGCAAGCAGCACAAAGTATCCCAGCTTAATACTAAAGCAATGACTAATCAGGGCATCCCAGGAGAAAGCTTTGCAGTAGCTCTTGCAAGGGTAATGAGGACAATTTCCATAGCTGTGACACTTTCAGCCAAGCAAAATGCCACAAATCTTGTTTATTCTTATTTATTCTCTCACAGAGCATAGGGTAACACAGAGCCAAAAGAAAAGGACTTTTCCTGGGGGAGGGATTGCAGCAAACATTTTGCAGGATGAACAGTCAGGGTTGTTGTTTTATCATGGCAGCACTAATAGCTAAATTCTATTAATTGCTGAATGTTGTTTTGTTTGGCAAATACAGGAAGCAGTTTACATGGCTACGCAAGTGCTCTGCTTCCCAGTCCTTCTGAAATGGTATTATTGTAACGGGATAATACTGATTAAGGACAGTTCCCTGAGGAAGGAGGGCCTTTTGATGACTGAGTCATTTCCTTTCCCTGCTCGACTCCAGGGCGATAGCACTTCTCTGCTACTGCACACACCCTTTGTAGCCAGGGACTTCACAGAGGAGGTCCAAAGCACAGCCTCAGCCTCAGGTGGAAATGCCTGAGGCCATGAGTCCTAAAGAAAGCACTGGAGCAGCAGAAATACACCAGCAGTCCAATCAGAAACTACTTTTTCTCCCCAGAATATTTTGCTTGCCAGTCCCTTTTCAAAACCAGTGTCTTTGGCTACACCACTCTGCTGGAACAGTCTGTCAACCCCTTAAAGCTTTGATTTTTGTTCCCATAGAGGTTTGGCAAATTAATTTGCTAAAGCAAATTACATTTCTGCAAACCGCGGCAGTGCAGCCTTCTCCTTCTGGACATGGTCACCTGCCACCAGTGACCACCAGGCCAAGGCCACCAGGTCAATTAACACAGGTCAGAAATTCAGTAACAGCAAAACTGTTCGCTCCTAAACTACAGAAAATTCAGAGTAAGGGCCTAGAGGAAAAGATTCCATGTCCTCTGACAACTGATGGACATCAACACTTCCCAACCACTCAAGCACCAGGGGAGCTGATCCTAGTGGAACATGGTTGACAAGAACAGCCCTCAGCCTCTCTTTCCCTTTGATTTTGTCATGTATTGCCATGGGAGATGCTCAAATGAGCTCAAGTCTAACCACGGCTTAGCAAGAAAATGTTCCTGTTATCACTTCCGAGCTCAACCCGGGCCCTTCTCAACGTTTTCCCTTTTGAGGTACAGTAATTGCTCTCCGATTAGGCTGAAAACTGTACCAGGATTATTGCTCTAAAGGAGCCAGTGTTATCAAAAAACAACACATCAGGGCCTGTCCTCACAGGAAGGGAATCACAAGTAATCAGCAGTGCTATAACGCAATAGGCTGCTGCTCCCTCCCCACCGAGCCCAGAAACAAAGCAGAGTAGGACATTTTTTTTTTGGTAGCCAAAGTGTTTTAAAAGAGCCCGGTTCCTCTTTGCCTCCCTGTTTGGCTTCTTGAAACATTGCTGTGTTTCCTTAACAGGACATAAAAAGCTCTTGGTGTGTGCAAGGATGGGGCGGGGGGGCCTTCCTCCCAAATTGTGCTGACTGGTGCCATCCCTTTCCTGAGTATCCCCCCCAGTTTGGGAGCAATGCTAGTCAAGGGGGAGATCTGCCCTAGAGAAGAAAACTGATGAAGATCTTTGGGTGATGTCCTTCCTGCTCTTTGCTCCTGTTCAGGTTCCCTCCCTTGGAAAATAGATGTTCCCCAACACTTGCGAATACCCACAGGGGCAGTGGTGGGTGTAATGTTGGTTCTTTTACACAACTACTCACCATAATGGCCTTTTAACCCTGTCCAAAGTGGCAAGATGAATTAATTTCATTCATCAGGAGCTGCATCATTGAGCAGGACCTCTGTCCATCCATCCATCCATCCATCCATCCATGAACACATCCACAGTCACGCATGCACAGTACTTACATCTATGTTACAGAGCTCAGCATGTGCTACAAAAGGAAACAGAAATATTGAATTTGGTAATAATACAGAAACCAACTGGAAGAGATGGCCAGAGAGCAAAGGGAAGGTAGGTCAGAAAGGATTTCCCATATTGCTGGACCACAGGTGAGATTTCAGGGTCCCACCCTGGTCAGGTGGTCAGGGGACATTGGAGGGGGTGGTGAAGGAGAAGCCATGAAATCTGTAAGAACAAATTCTTTTGGAGGAGCATTTTAACAGCTCTTCATGCTAGGCT